TGGGCAAAAGATTAAAAAGCTACTATCATAAAACAAGAAAATATTTATGCAGATTCCGAGCTGAAGAGTCGTCAGATAACTCTGCACTGTCAGGACGATTTCCAATTAGACTTGTCGAGTGATATAAGACCTGTATAGTACAGAAGTGGACATGTGCATGGACATATGGGAAACTTAAAATATACTCTCTTAAGGAAGTGCATGCATGAGAGCAATAAGCAATAAAAAATTATCCACTGCGCTGTGCTCGTAGATCTCGCAGCCTGTCTGCTGATGAAATGGACACAGTTATGCAAATTAGGCTTCAGATGTGTTCAGATCACCCTTCAAGACGAAGGGAAGGGTTGAGTTGCTATTGAAGGATATGTGATGCGCTGCGTTGCTGTGCTGTGCTGTGTGGTCTTTGAATCAGCTTCAGCTTTGCTGCTGTTGTCTAGGCGGCCACTGATCGGACATTTGCGGGCCACTGGGCAGGCCGCGCGCGCAGAGGTGTGCACCTGGAAAACTGGTTTTCTCACGATTGGCAAAGGTAACTGTCATCGCCACAACGCAAAGGGTTAGCTAAGGCGAAACGGACGACGGCAGGACATTACCGATCCAGAGATGCTGCAAAAGCTGCTGCTACGAGTATTCAAATTAGTTTCCTTATACTGGGTAAGCTAACGGTCGCTGCAGAAATACATACATATGCGTTATGGATCGATCGAAAAGGGTTGCCCTGTCCTGTCCTGTCCTGTTTTGCCCTGCATAGGTCACTTCCATTTACATAGCATTCGCATCCCGCGGGCCCTTCCGCTGGCTGACTGTTAAACTGGTCAAACCGGTCTGTGTCCTAAATCCGTTATGCTAAATACAAACATACATAGATCCACAATCACACACATACATGCGAGTGCGTGCCGGCCACATGGCTTTTTGTGTTGCTTTGAACATTGTTCCCTAACTTCAGTTAGGTCAGTTGTTGGCAATCACATATATATATGTATTTGCATACCATCGGCCTTCAGAGTCGCGTCGTCCAACTAGCTCAATCCGGGTTTGACGAAGCCACATGCACACATTCATCTTTGGGTGTAAGTGTATGTGTAAGTGTGTGTGCCGGCCACTTGTACGTGGTATCCAAGCGAATACGCAATGCTAACAGTGTGAGCAAGAGGGCAAGAGGCAGCTCTTAATTAAGCAGTAAACACACACATATGAGACGATTGAGCAAGCATCGGCATAAAGATTGCCCCGTTAGCGACGTCACACATGTATGACGCGACTGAGAACGAGTAAATGAGGAAGCATAAATAAGCCCACGTGACGTCACACATGTGTGACGCGGCTGAGCATATGAATGAGTATATAATATGAGTATTGCCCGTTAGCAAAACAAAACACATTGAGCTGTTACGTGAGCTGCCGATTCATTTCGCTTTCGACATTGAAGCCTAACATGTGGAAAAAGCAACTGAAGCTCCGGCAGACTAACCAAGTGAAAAGAATGTGCAACTGTCAAGCAAACCTCTTTATTGTGATTAGTGCGTTAATAATTATTGATTATTGATTAACACGTGCATATACATGTGTATACACATGTATCAAAGGAACTCTAACTAGTAACATATACAAAAAATACCTACACAGATGTGATATATATTACCATAAGTATCATAATAAATTTATACAACCTCTTCAATTGTGTTATATCTTTAATTTCGTTGAAATCCACAAATGTAATTTTTATCCACGTGAAACGAATCATTTAAAATATCTTTCAGCTTCTATTGGGATCAACTATTAAGTCAGTTGGATACGAAAACATTCAAGGAAATTAAACCAAAAAAATAAATAAATGAACAATCGGGAGTGTCCGACTACACGTAACTTGCGGACATAACATTCAAATATTCCATATGAAAAAGGCCCAGTTTCTACGACTTGAAAACCTATCTTTCTTAATATTTGGACCACTGAGGGGGCTATTCAAAGTAAACCTCATTCATAAGCTCAGCAAGCATCACAGGGACTTAGTCTTACAAATATAACATGCAATATAAATGTATAAATAATATATAATATATTTCTAAACTGTTTTGAGACTAAGTGCACGTTTTCATAGTAATAGTTTCATAGTAAAACCAATAGTTGGTATTAAAATTAATTGAAACTCTATATATATTAGTTGTGTGATCAAATAATAATAATAATACATGACATATCTATCCATAATTTAATAATATATCATCCAATCTTCAATCTGGTTAAAGTAGTTAGACAGTGAGATCTAAGGAGAATTCAATGAATTCGACAAGTTAAGAACTTCGCTTAAAAGTAGATAATTATCAAATAGAATTTTTTATCTATCAATAGGGAAGGTCAACATTCTAATTTCTAGCTGTAAATCTGTATAAGATGGAGTTTTTCTTGATTTTCATGGATATGTCTTAAGAAGAAATCCACAGCAACGTCATATTTTGGGGCAAACCCTGGTTATCTATCAATTATGACGCGCCCGATAGGGTGAATGCTGAAGCATTCACTAAATATTTTTTCTTTTGAATTATCGACATGACAGCATGATAAGCAGATGGCGGGATATAGGCATAGATATAATGATCTGGGGTATTTATGAACCAGAATATTAAGTATACAGCTTTACTAGATTTACTATGTAAAATCGACAAAAAAAGAAGTCAGATATGAACTTTGGCATTCAATTACGAAAGAAGGAAGTTAGCTTAAACCTGAACAGGAAATGTTTATATTTTAATGGTCAAACATGCACAATGCGACTAAAGTATGCACAACTCAATAATATATTAGATTTCAAGTGGAGAAAAAACAGATTGATGCAAAATATATTTAAATAACAATAGAAAGGAATGGAAATGGGAAAAACTTCTTATTCATTTCCATTGTTATAAATTTTTGTTGTTAAATGGGTCGTTGTTAGCCATTGAATGAGTAATTCCTTTCGATTGTTTCATTTGGCATTTTTTAATCTTTTGGGGGTGGACGTTAAAATGGACATTTCGCATTTGCGTAATGTGTGTGAGAGTGGGAGTGCGCGCGTACGTAATAGTGTGCGTGTGAGTGTGCGTAATTGTGTATGTATATGTGTGAGTCGTTCGCTTCGCCAACCATCTTGTTTTTTTCCAGAGTACTAATACTCACCACCACCACAACCAAAGGAAACGGTAGAAGACAAAGGCAGAACCAGTACAACAAACGGCACAAGAAATATACACACACACAACAATTCCAACGCCCCTTTGCCAAGGCCGCGGCTCAGGCAGGCTTAGGGTGAACCCAAGTCCCAGTTCGAGTTCGAGTTCGAGTTCGATTCCATTCGGCTCGACCATTCGGTTCCACACAAAACGAGTGTGTGGGCTTAGCAATGGAGGAGTGCCCGACCGTAATTAGGAAGAGGGAAAGGGATAGAAACAGCAACACAGAATTCACTCACACATCACACAGCTCTTAACGCAGCTAAACACTTGTATAGAAATTATCGACTCAACTTTTTTCTATGCATACATGTTTGCTTGCTCGACAAACGAGTGAGTGAGTTAAGAGGTAAATTAAAATGCAATGGCGGGAGCGCACGGTCGCAATTGAGAAGAGGGAAAGGGAAAGGTACAGGCAGGAACAGATCCAAATCATCAACTTAAGCTTATACCCACACATTTGTACATATGCACAAAATGGATTTTCCCGCAAAACACTGGGCAACCAAACTGAAATCTTTCATATACCTCAAGTTGCATTATTTGGAAACCTTTTTTCTGTTTTCTATTCTGGTATTATTTTTTAAGAAAATAAACCAAGCTGTAATGAACTTTTAATGCGTTTAACTTATATATTATATTGTTGGAATGAATGTGGCTCATTATGCAATTTAAGATCATAACCGATTCGGAATTGTAATCAAGCTTTAATAATAAGAATTCAAAGGAGTTCATCCCAGCAAATGTACTTCTCTTGAATGCTCAAGGATAACCAATTTACTATTCACCCTTAAAGAGAAATCTTAAACTTGATTGTTTCGCTTTTCTTCCTGAAAACTCTACTTGACTTCGACTAGCCACTCAAATGTTATGTAGCGATGTTTGTTCTAGATTTTCCACCTAACATCAAATCTTCAGTTAATAAAGTTTCTTCATTACTGGTGGTACGTCATCATATACCATGCTCAGATCAAAATCTTTTTCACTTTGGTTCACTTGGTTAAAAGCCTAGAGATCAAGTTAGGCATTTATGAGCTCTCCAATCGGAAATAATAAAGCGAATTTTCCTTAGATTAATAAGTCCTAATGGTCAACGGAATTCAGAAACGATTAGTATAAAATAATTCAAATTCTGTTTTAGATAATTCAAAACCAACATTTAAAAAACAATTGTTTTGGAAATATCAGAAGGCTTTCAAATCCAATTTCTATAGCTATTAATTAACATTCTAAAATCATGTACATGGGGTTATAGATGTCGATAAAGTACATTACACATGTTTAATGGAAGAATTTACTTGAGTTATTTCACTTAACATTGATAATATATGGATATATATTATATATATAATATTTAATTATTATATTACATTACAATTGCTTAATTGCGTTTAATACATATTACAAAGTATTTAGAGCTGCAGAGCTGGTTATCCTAAAACTAATTATACATATAAATAGTCCTTTCAAACAATCAGCATTGTCTCTGGTATCGAGTCTCGTATATATATTCTCTTTACGTATGTCCAACTACCCCCACGTACCTATGTGATGTGTGCTACCCATCAGTCAATCGTTAAAATTTATCCGATTTCATCTGAAAAGTTTGCCGTTGGCTAGGCAAATATTCTTTAAGCTAGAGAAATTAAAAATTTCCCTTTTCAAGTTCATTGGACTGTGATGAGGAAATTTACGATTAGCTCGAAATTTCTCGTTACAAATTCGAATTTTTTCAATGTGATATCGCCTTAGCTTTGAAAATTTTCGATAAGCCAAAAGAAATTCAAATTTCATTTTTATAAATTGATTATATTAAATTTTCCCTCATAATTTCCTTTTTAAGTGAATATCACCTAGGCTTATGAAATTTACGAGACGCCCCTTTTCAAGTTGATTTACAATAAGTTTCACCTTGACTAAGGAAATTTACAACACACAAATTTCATTTGCAGAAAGTTTTGATGCTCGATCGATGCTTTGAGATACAGAGACTAGCGTTTTAGATCGCCCGACAGTTTCATTTCAATCCGATCCGATCTTATTTGTTGACAAAAAATGCGGGATTTGGCGACAGATTTGGTGGCATGGGTATCATATTGCCGCCAACTTGTTGCTGTTGCTGCTGTTGTTGTTGTTGACTTCTTGTGTTCGTTGCATATAATTGCTGTTGAAAACTGTGATATTGCTGCGCATATTTCAGATCATTCGACGAGGGTCCAACGAAATTGACGCCACCGCCGTTGCCAGCTGACGATATAAGGTTACTGTTGTTGGGGCCAACCACCATGCCAGGATGTCCTTGTCCCTGTAACTGTACCTGCACACCTTGTACTGGTCCTTGCATGCCCAGTTGACTTGGACACATACCGCCCGGCATAGACTTTATGTGCTGCTGCTGACCTTTCGGTTGAGCTTGTTGCTGCTGTTGTTGAGCAGCTGCAAACATTGCCGGCGAATTGCAATTGCCACCAGCGCCATTGTTAAACAATATAGTCGGATCATTGCAATCCAAGCTATCACCGCCAGGAAACTGGACTTGATGTCGATGATTCACAATATTGTTGCCTGTTGGGGCCTGCAAGCGAATGTTGCCCAAGCCACCATGTTGTCGCATGCCGTGAGGTCGCATGCCACGTATCATTGGTGTCATGTCTGCATGCCCAGGCAATCCTACACTTCCGGCGACGTCATCGTCGAGGCCAGCTAGCTGATTACAATTTTGAAAAAAATTCATGCTGCCAACATGATTGTTTATCATTTTGTTCTGTTGCTGCTGCTGTTGTTGTTGATTTTGTTGTTGATCGCTGGGCGCTGAATTCATATTCATCATCATGGGATTCCCGTCGTTGCCAATCGGATTGGCCATTTGGGGGTTGGCGTATCGCTGCAAGAATTCCAAACTAGGCGCCACTCGTACATTCCCATTATTGCCACTATTATTACTGTTATTATTATTGTTGTTGCTGTTGCTACTGCTGCTGCTATTGTTATTTTGGGGTCGCACTGGCATGTACTGTATTGTATTTGGTGTGCTGGCCTTCACTTGAATATTTGGATTGAAATTGGGTCCAAAATTGACTGGCATGCGACCCATCATGCGTGCGCCTGGTGGCAATATCCCATGAAAGCCGGGTCCAGGTCCGTGTCCGGATCCATCGCGTATCATACCATTTGGTCCCGGACTAAAGCTGGCAGTCCCTAGGTTAGATAACTTGGGATTCAACATACGCTGACCCATCGAGTTAATCAACGGATTGATTGAATGGCAATTGTTGGGTGCATTGCCCATGTGTTCCATGCTGATGCCATCCAAATTGGGAACCAAGCCAGCGGCAGCAGCAGCAGCAGCAGAGTGCTCCATATTTATATCAACTAGTCCCGAAACTTGACCTTGACCTGGACCCGGACCCATCATATTCATCCCGCCGGCGGGACTACCCACGGTTGATACACAGCTAGTCAGCTGCTGGGACATCTGCGCTAATGACGAAATTGGATCAAAGTTCTGTGCCATCTTATTTTGGGCTGGCCGATTGCTGCTGCTGTTCGGATTCAGGGGCATATTATCCGAACGACGACCAAATTGTACAGGCCCTCCACTTGCTCCACAATTTTGACGCTAAAAAGAAATGAACAAGGGCTCTTCAAAATAAATAGATGTTTGGTATATTTAAGCGTCTACACTAAGGATTAACGAGTATATGCCTATACTAACAATAGTATATGATATATACTACTATAATATATATTTTTAAAATCAAATATCAATAAAGATTTTTTACTTTCTTTCGATACCTTCGGATGCCTTAGTCCTACATGTTTTTCCACTTACCTCCAGGGGGTTGCTGCTATTGGCGCCTTTGTATGTGTTCAAGGCAGTGTTTGGATTATTTTGCAAATGTGTGTGTGGATTAAAGTTTATCCCCGGGCTGGTTGCCGGAAATCTCGAATCCATATTATTCGGTTCAATTAGATGATTCGTAGAATTTGCGTTAGCATTGGCATTGGGGTTACCTGGCGACCGAGGGCGCTGTGGACTTGGTCTAGTGTTCTTCATATCACCTAAGAACATGGAAATTCCATAAATATTTTATGTATAGCAGAATCAAACCTTTCTTGTCATGCCACAAGATTGAAAGGATTTGTTAATGAATGGATTTGTTTTGTATATTCCGAGTGTTTCAGAAATATTTGTCATACACAGTTGAATTGAGTGTGAAAAATAATTATGATTTGTTATATTTTTTAAAATATATAAAAGCGAATTGTTTGTTATACTAAACTGTTATACACATATATTACAGAATTAAATATATCAAAAAAATGAAGTATATGTGAAAGTGGTTCGAACGGGCAAAGATAAGAGTTTTCTTTGAATGCAATTTTCTCAAAATTGTGATTTGAATGGGGAAAATGGGTTTCGGATATTGATTATATAGCTATAGCTATAGTTCGATCTATTTGTTCTCGGAATCTTGTGCTACTTAGCGAAATTTAGAAAATAATTACCAGCAGTTGAGTTAAACGATTCCAGATCCTTGGGCGAAAGGTGGGCAAGCGGCGTACTGGGATTACTATTTAGATGATTATTCATCACATTCACACACACATTTACGTTCGATGCGTTGTTACCAGCATTTCGATGTCGACTCGAAGGCGAACCGGCGTCGGGTTGAAAACAGTTTTTCGATGTGGCTATGGAACCCATATTTGCTGTAGCTCCAACCTGACCACTTGCTGATGAATTGGTTGTACTGTTTAGTTCCATGCTGGGCGAATTCGATGGCAAACCAAGGGCACCAGCTGTGCGTGGCGATGGCAGGGAGAGATTATTAGGACTGGAAGGATTTGGAGATTGCGTTGCAATTGGCACCGATGCCGACCGTTGTGTGGGATGATAGGGCGGTGGCGGTCCTTGAACATTATTTCGCAGTACGGCATTTGGTGTGCTACTAGAAGGCAAAGTCGTAATCGATGGCTGGGGATTAGTACCGGAGCCAGGTCCAGGCATACCACCTGTTGGCCGACAAGCTGCTTTGCCCACTGCTTTGCGCTCTTCAAAAAATTGCTGTTGCAATTTGGTCCACTCCATTGGTGTCATACTGCCTTCTCCTTTATCTCCAGCTCCCATGCCCATAACGCAATTTGTGTTAACAAATCCGCCTATCAATTCGGGCGAGTTGGCCAATAAGTTAGGATTATTTGAACATTGCATGCCAACATTCATATTAGCATTCATACCAGCAGCTGATCCAAGGCCTGCTCCTCCTCCTCCTGCTCCGCCTGCTGCTGCTGTCGCTGCAGCTGCTGCTGCGTTGGATGCTGGTAAATTGTTTTTCTGTCCACTACTGCACGACATAACAGCTCCAATATCACCAATAACATCAGCTGGCAATGGCATCATAACATCTTCGCCCAGCTGCGACATATGCTCCGTTTTCTGCTGCTGCTGCTGTTGTTGTTGTTGTTGTGCCGCAGCTGCAGCCGCCTGCATTTGCAATTGCATTTGTCGCATTTGTGCATTCGACGCTGCGCCTGTCGGCGCAATGTTCATCATTAAATTTCCCATTGCCGCCTCATTTGGCAGTTTGTTCAATTGATTGCCCGCTGGTCCACCACTCTCATTCTCTGGAAACAGGAATTGATTCATTTTCTTCAGTTTTGCCAATTGTTCCTCGCGATGTTGTCGCTGCTGTGGTGTCAAGTTTTCATCTGGCACTTTGACACCCTGCAATGAAATTATATTGCCATCAGCGCTTAAGTCGGCGTTATTGCATTTGCCCAGGACACTATCAACACCTTCTAATAGCTTCATGGCTTGACCATCAGGCTCCAGCGAGCTTCGATTGGCATTTCCTGCCTCCCAGCACATCAGGTCACTTTCGTTAACAAGTGAATCGGCCGCTGTTGAGGTTGGGTCTGCAAAGTGGTTTCGCTTATCAGCTTGATTATTAAAATGCGCTTTCGACTTTTGTTGTTGAGGCTGCAGCATTTTAGCCAAATTTGGATTTTGATTGGAGTTTGGATTATTGGAATTTGCATTTGAATTTAGCCAGTTGGGTCCACCTGCTCCGGACATGTTGCAAATGTTGAGACCCAATGAGTTCTGTCGTTGCAATTTATTCATTTTCATTGGATTCTTCATAAAGAAATCTTCCAGAAAACTCTTAGTCGCTGGCTGTGTGCAATGGTATGCAATAATCGTCTGAAATTGTCCACTTAACACAGATTCTGCACCGTTATTGGCCAATTGCGTTGAGAAGACAAATATATGATTCTGTTGCTGCATATAATCCAAGCAATTGCCAACACTATTATTGCCCATAAAATTGGATGATGCACCACCACCAAGACCGCCTCCGCCTCCGCCACCGCCGCCCCCACTACCACCATTACCACCACCACCGCCACCACCAGCAACGGAGCCAGCATTAGGAGACACATTAATGCCAATGCCAAGCGATACGCCAAGACCAGGCACGCTTACAGTTGGATTAGCACTTAGATTGGCATGCGAGGCATTTATATCACCTATACGATCGGAATCCAAGGTATTAATTAATGCACTACAGTTGCTAATATCATTATCAGTGTTTAGTCCCATAACAGATGGAGGCTTTTCATTCAGCTCCATTTTAACTAGCGAAAAGAGAAACCTATTAAGTCTCACATTAATACGCTGAACTCAGTCGTCCACTTACCTGGTGTAACAGATCGATCTGTTGCACCAATCGATCCAAAACCCACTGGCGACATGCTTGGTGAGAAATGGTCTTCCTTCTTCATATTCACCAAGCAGCTGCCCAGCAATATATCTGTCGGCTCCTCCTTAACAACAGGTTCCGTTGCGCCTGCAGCTGCTGCTGCTACTGCTGAAGCTGGTGCTGGTGCTCCCTTTGTATTGCTATTGTTGACAACTGTTGAGCTGTTGAGACTATTTTGATTGACTTTGTCCAATGCAGAGCTAGCAGATATATTCGTTGGATTCGATGTCAACTTTGGCTTAACTGGAAGGAAGAAAAGGAAAGGAGGTTGTAATAAACGGTTAATTTCACACATTTGGGCCAAGATCTGGCAACGAATATTAGTCGTTATTTCTCTACCGATACAGATGAACCCCGAATATTTAATTGAATACTATTGGTTACTATTAATTTGTATCTTAAGAGAGCTAGACACGCGTTTTTTAAGCTAAAATCTAACCTATTCAAGATATTAAATTTAATTTTAAAGAACCATAAATATAAACACTATATATTAATCCTATATCTTTAGCATAGTTAAGTGAGATTTTCACAGCAGAAAATTGTCATATGACTATATCGTCTTTATACCATAAGCCAGAAGTAGGTCTGATTGTATAAACGCGTCGATCTCGATATCAAAAGAAACAGAAACATCAAATTAAGACGTACACCCTACAATAGCAGATGAGTGCAGTTCAGACCAGATAATACTCTGCCTCAGTGAAATCATTTTTGGTAAATTCAAAACTGCACTAATTTAACTGTACAATTTTTAAGAGGTCTGGTTTAATTTGGAATTTAGGACTTTGTCTACACGAGTTGATATATTCAAAATTTGAAGTCTTTAGCTTCAACAGCAAAACTAATTTATATAAATTATAAGTAATGGGTATACAAAAATGATTCGCATTTTCGAAGTTGCTGCTCGGTATGTTGCCGCACATAAACTCTCTTAACTCTCAAGCATATTCGACTAACGCATTCTTGCTTTATTTAATTGATGGGAAATGTAAGAGCTAGAGTACAGTATTTACCACAATCCTCCTCCTTGACGCTGTTGCTGCTGCTGGTGTTGCCGCTATTAATCTTCTTTTTCTTCAACAGTTCATCTTGATGCAGTTCACTCTCAGCTGACGAATTTAACACTTGTGCAATATTGCTGCTGTTGCTGTTGTTGTTGCTCTTCGTATTCGTTTGCTCGCTGGTGTTATTTGGATTTGTTGTTGAACTTGGATTTGCATTCGTTGGCGAATTGGCATTATTCTGTCTAGCTGAGTCCGATGAATTGCTGCTGGCATTGGAATTTGTTGTGTTTTTGCTGTTGTTAATATTATTATTGTTACTATTATTATTATTGTTGCTACTGTTGCCACTGTTGTTGTTGTTATGATGATTATTATTATTTGTGCTGGAATTATTTTTGGTAGCTGCATCCGCCTCATCTGACATGATTTGATTAGTTTGATTATTTGCGTTCTCTAGAAAACAAAACAGAACGGAGAAGCACATAGTTGATAAATTTATTTTATTTTTATTATATATTTACTCTACCTGGCGATAGTGTTGAATAGGGTTCGGCCTTCACCTTAACCGTTTTTAGGGCTTCAATCTGAATTATATTTTTGGCCGCTGTATCAGCGTTTGTTGTTGTTGTTGTTGATTGGCTGGCGCCCCCTGTTATTGTGGACAGCATTCTCGATTAGCCAACATGGAACACGACAATTTGTGTTTAGTTCTCGAAAGGTTCCGTATTTTTTATTTACTCTTTGTCCATGGTCTCTGGGATTTAAGCCTCGATTTTTAGCTTCCACTTAATCATTTATTTCATTGCATTTCATTCATTTTCTTCTTTGCGTTTTTTGATTCGGCCAAATTCTTTAAGCACACGCACACACGCTTTGACACATTTGCTCATGTGTGTTTGTGTATATAAGCGCCTGCACTCAAACAAAACAACAAAAAAATTCTGTATACATACAAAACACTCGCATATACCTACAGACACACACACACAACTGACACAATTAGCTTAAGAAAATTGTTTTAGTCGCGAAAACAACGCTAAAGTAAACGTTGCATACAATTTTCTTACAGCTTATTCCAATCTAGTTATATACAAAAAGTTATTGCTTGTGCAAGAAATATCTTTATTTGTAATTTGTAAATACAAAGCGCACAGCCACTTGGCATGCTCCTACTATATAAAATATGCAATCTGTGTTCGAAAATACCAAAAAGTGTTATTGTATTCTCGGGTGTCTCGGGACGATACGACTGTATTATGTGTTGGTACTAAAATGTATCAAGTATTTTGTATGTAACGAGTAAGCAAGAGTAACTATAAATGAGTACGCATTTGCTGTCAATGGTATTAAAAATATATATGAATACGATACCAGTGTACGCCAATTGTGAGCTATCGAAATCTTAATATCCATATGAATGTTAATTTACAAGCGTACGATGATTGTGGGTTATCGATAAAATATGGAGAAGCTTGTATCAGATTTAGTTTTCATGTGATGGGCATTTAACTATATTTTTGAATATATTTGCATTATCCTACAATGGGCGTAATAATGTTGTTTTCTCAAAAAACTCTGTAATTGTTTAGATCGTCCTATTTAGTAGGCGCGCCTTTCTACTCGTTCACCCCTATCGGCAACAGTTGTGCTGCACTCAAGTGGGATGAGTGAAGTCTCACACGTAAACATTAACTCAAAAGAGTTGTATACAATTTGTAGAATCTGGATTTGTTTTATTTATTGCATTTAGCTTATTTATACATGAGTACATTTACTTTTAACTTTGAATGGGCTTACGTAAGCGTACGTACTTCATTTCTAACGTATTTCTTTAATTTTTATTTTTTTAATGTTTTGTTTACATTTCTTGTTTTGTTATCTTCTTGTATTATTTGTGATGTGTATTTCCACCTCGTTTTAGACTAAATTGACTAGCAAAGTTCTTCTGAGTATTCGCAGCTGTGCTTATGTATTACAATAACTGTTAAATAATAAAATAGTATGCATATATACATATACAGTCTGTCAAGAAACACTTTACACAGTGGAAAAAATCTCAATTTTTTGACTTTATGTAAAAAAATAAAGAGTTTTTGTTTAATTTAACTAATTTTTTTTAATGGTTAACTGTTTAATAGGTATTTTTAAATCAAATTATAGAAAACAGAAACAAAAACAATAATGGTGAAACTTAAAAAACAACAAAAACTTAGATTACTCATATTTTACACTGTCAAGAAACTCTTTACACACTTCTTATATATTGTTCTAAATTTAAAATGTAAAACTAATTATAACTAATTTTGAAATACTTAATATTTAGTATGGCCCCCCTTAGCATTCTGTACATGTTGGAGTCTTCTTTTCATTGAGTTGACCAAGTTTTGAATATACTCTAGGGGTATCTTCTGCCACTCTTCCAGTACGAAAGCTTTTAGCTGTCCACGGTTGGTTGGATTCCTTTTTCCAACCTTTTGCTTTAAATAAGACCACGCATGTTCGATTGGGTTGAGATCTGGGCTTTGGGGTGGTGTATCCAAGACCTTTCCGCAGTTGTAAAGCAACCAATTACGTACATTATACTCCTTATGTTTTGGATCGTTGTCTTGGTAAAATTTAAAAGTTGGCCGATTTTCACTAATAAAGCCAAATTTGGTTAAAAAATATTGCTCGGCATTCATTGTGTTTTCAATGAATACCAATTCACCGACTCCTTGGCTGGAAATGCAGGCCCAAACCATAACCGACAGCTTTCCAAATTTGACTGTTGGAATGATATTCGCTTTGTCGTAAGCTTTAGAGACCTTTCGCCATACTTTGGGCGGACCTTCGTTGTAATACAACATTATTTTGGTCTCGTCGCAAAATATAACGTCCTTTCAATACTCCTCTGGGTGCCTAAGCATAGTAAGAGCAAAACAGAAGCGCTTTTCCACATTTGTCGACGACAGCAAGGGTTTCTTACGTGCCACTTTCGAAGAATACCCATGCCGTAGAATAGCCTGACGGATCGTTTCGTGGGACACATCCACACCACACTCTTCTTTGAGCTCCTTGGCAAGAGTTCTGGTCGAGATTTGGGGATTTGATTTGATCTTTCGCATCATAAGGCGGCTTGCCCGATCAGATATCTTTTTTTTTCGGCCACCCACACCCTTTGCCTCAAGTCTTCCCTCATTTCCGCGCGACTGAGAACGTTGTATATGGTTTTTCTTGACACAGAAAACATTTCCACTAATTCTGGAACTGATTTGCCCAACTGCCGATTGTAGAAGATCAATTGGACAACATCGAAGCTTAATCTCTTTCCGGGCATTATTAATCAAAATTTGTATTGCTTTTATATGTGTACTCAGCCAAATTTCGCACAAAGTGAAAAATAAACACAAAAATAGAGATGCATAGACAGATTCTAAAGGCATAGTTAACGGTAAAGCCCCGTTATTTCTTAGAATCAGAGCAAAACAGATGAAGAGAACAAAATGTGTAAAGAGTTTCTTGACAGTGTAAAATATGAGTAATCTAAGTTTTTGTTGTTTTTTAAGTTTCACCATTATTGTTTTTGTTTCTGTTTTCTATAATTTGATTTAAAAATACCTATTAAACAGGTAACCATTAAAAAAAATTAGTTAAATTAAACAAAAACTCTTTATTTTTTTACATAAAGTCAAAAAATTGAGATTTTTTCCACTGTGTAAAGTGTTTCTTGACAGACTGTACATATTTAAATAAAATCATTCGTGCTACTTGATTATAAGATTTTGTCTGGGAGTGTTAAATAAAATACACTCAAACTTATTTCGGTTACATGCATGGGTGAGTATGTGGGTGTGTGTTCATGTATGTACATTTCTAATAGTAAAAAGTACTATTATGTATATATATATATATATATATATATATATATATATATATATATATAATTATATATAATATATATATATATATACTTTCAATTTCGATTAATGTAAAAAGAAGCATTACAATATTTACAATTAGTTTCTTTAAATTTAAGTGGCTTTCCATACATATATATATATATATATATATATATATATATATATATATATATATATATATATATATATATATATCATATAAGTATTTACTTTTTATTTTTATTTATAGTTGTACCTTGTTTATTTAATAAATTTGACTAGATTTACATAGTTACACGCTAGAGACTTTTTCATATAAAGTTTGCATCACTCGGCTCTAAGTATTTATAGATGTTCTCAAAAGTATGTTTATTGCCACATCATCTCCCACTTGGGTTAGCTAGGAAGTTAAGACAGTTTCAATACAAAAATGTGCTCAAAAATGAGCGGAATCGTAGAATCAGGTACCACAGGAAAAATATATATACTAAAATATATATAAAAAAACATATATGTATTTACACAAATTATAAATATATAAAAACATAATATATTAACAAAATGAAGTGCTCTCGGCGGGAGAGGCTGACTAGAAGATGCGCACAGCTTATAAACCCATAATTTTCCGCTACTTTTAACCATTACACATAACCAGAACACACAAACACATAAGAAGGCCTCTGCTTGATGAGCAGCTTACAGGAAATTAAATGGGACGGACAGACAAACAGACGGAGAATCTAATATGGCTCGATGTAATCAGCTCATTGATCTGATTGAGAATATATACATGATGTGTCCTGCCACTCCTCCTCCTGCGTGTTCCTCCTGCGTTATCACAAACCCACAAACAACCCCCTGTTTTTATGTAATTTAGATATATCAAGTCGAATCTGGCCGACATGTATAGATACATACATACACACAGACGCATACATACATACATAAGCATACGCTGATTGAACTTATGTTCTAGTCGTACGATCATAATGTAAGTTTTCATTATAAGAGTATCACACCGAAATGTGTGTATGGGCCATTCGATTCGATGTTTATACTCGTTTTCAAAATCAAAATGAGTATATTGGTTTTGGAGAAATACCCGTCCGTCCGTCCTTCTGCCTGTCTATCTGTCTATATGTCTGTATGAATGCAAAGTATGTGTCATTATAACCCATATGACCCACCAATCGAAATCTTAATATGTGGATAGCTTATGTGTTCCTCATACTATAGACCTCAATCCAGCTCCACCTTTACTGATCTTTAACTTATAGTTTAGCTCTAGCTTCTATAGTTGACGGATTTATAGAGACGGACAGACATAGAGCCAGAGGAACGGACGAATGAACAACCCATGATCGACTCGGCTGTTGATGTTTAGATTATAGAAACAAAAAAAAACCAAATATTAAATATGCCTTAAAAAAGTAAAAAAAAATTAAATCTTTTGTGTTCTTTTGAACCGGAAACAAGAGTTCGATAATAGATGAAATCACATATTCCCAACAGGATTTTGTAAGCCGGGTACAAAGTAGGTGTTCGTGCAGAATTGACTCAATGGGTCGCTTTGGTAGAGATTTTGGGAGTTGACGAAATGATGTGACAAAATATGTTCCATTACTTATGGAAGAGCTGAAACGCACAAAATATATAGAAACAGATATGGTTGAAGTATCTGTTAGCCCAATAGAGCACACAATATCTCTCTCTTATTCTCTCTCTCTCTCTCTCTCTCTCTCTCTCTCTCTCTCTCTCTCTCTCTTTCTCTCTCTTTGCTTAGTGAACCAACGATTCATTTAGCTGTAAATTTGGATCTTTATAATATTTCGTACCCAAACGAACGGACAGACGCTTGCCTGAATTGATGCTAGCTAGCAAACTGTCATCGACTTCTATCGGTCTATTGAAGTACTCAACGCAATCGATCACACCTAAGCTATCGATTGACCACTCAGGCGTCAAGGAGTTTGTGTGTCGATTCGAATTGAAGTCGGATTCATGTTCGGACTTTGTATTGGCAACGCATTTTTTCTTGCGATGAGCATTCTGCTGTCTGCCTATTGAGTTCTTCTTCTTCTTGTCGAATCTGAAATGGTCTTTTGCATCGACAACGGTATCAAGTCTATAGGAATTTTCTGTTAGCTGTTCGTCGAGACATTCTCCATTATGTCACAACATGTCATCGTGTTCATCGTGATCATCATCATCATGATCATCAACTAGGAAATCATGATGTTCCAGCTCCAAATCCATTTCTCCATCATCATCAAAATTACCCAGCGGCGACATCGCTGTCGTATGTAGATTGCCATAGTGTCCACTGTTTCGCTCCTCCTCCTCCTCCTCCTCCTCTTCGTCGTGCTGTTGCTGATGCTGCTGCTGATGCTGAATCTGTTGCTCTTGCTGCTGCTGCTGCTGCTGCTGCTGCTGCTGCTGCTGCTGATGATGATGATGCTGCCTACTATGCGAGTGCTGTGAATTCTTGTTATCATCATCGCGCCATTTATCCATTGAGCGTCGTCGCGCATTCATAAAAAAGTTGCCCACAGTTGTCGGCTCCAATCCCAGTTGGCGTGCAATTGTCACTTGCATCTCCTTTGAAGGCCTCTTGGTTTCCTGTAAGCCACACAAATTTCACATCATTTCGCATTCCATTGCCTGCTGCTGCCCATTACAACCCCACAGACGTACCTTAAAAATTGCTTGTAGTGTCCGTCGCTGCAGATCTGTAAAAACTAAACGGGGCTTTTTCGGTTGCGGCATTTGTTCTATATGCGGTTCTTCCTTGCGCCGGCAGTTAGACCCGAGAGCCGAACCGCTTAGCATCGCTGAAAAGAATTGCAAAGTGACAGATTAACTCCATGCATTCCACTTAAGGTCTAATGATCTGGGCTTTCAAATGGAATACGAAGAATTTGTTCCATTTCGAAGCTCACAGAAACTAGAAGCTCTAATTGAGGCAAATAAACTGAGATATCTATTCGGAATAAGTTTAAATTGTTATCGAATTCTATCTAAAACAAACTTCATATCGATCTTTAATTATAACAATTCTGGAAAATTGAGCAAGTTATAGTTTGGAAATCCTGAGTTGTTATGGAGACTCTGAATACTCTCAACGTGACGAGCGATATGAGACATTGAAGCTATTTACTAGGCGTGTGTAAAAATATTGTTGGCTGGTATTAGATCAAGTCTTAATTACCGTTTGTCGAAATGATTGACCCATGCGTTGCCTCTGCACTTGCGTTGGTATGTACAGTGGTCGATGACGTCACTGCAACTGAGCCCGTTGCTGATGCTATTGTCGATCCCGAACCCGAACCCGAACCAGAACCCGAACCAGAACCCGCTGCTGTTGCGAATATAATGTTGCTATTACCCGAGCCGGCCCCAGCTCCAGTTGAGGGTCGCTGGGGGATTTGGGCAGCAGCCATTCGTAGTGCAGACATACGCTGAAATTCGGGCTCTTGCAGCCATTTGAACATGCGTCGAAAGGTCTCCCGACCTGACTTCAGCTTCGACCAGGGTTTCGGATTGCGCAGCAGATCGGATAGTGTGCCCTGTGATCGACATAGCACACGCTGGGCAAATATCGCTTGAGGTATGCTGTAGCGCTTGAGCTCTGCAGAGATGCGTTGAGCCAACTCCTTGGTATTTATCTCTTCCATGTCGTTCGGTACAGCAGTTGTCGGGCGGGACAATGGATTAACGGCAACTCCACTTAGTTTTGGAGACAATTTAGGTTGTTGTTGCTGTTGCTGCTGCGGTGGCGTTTGATCCGAGATGAAGCCGTTTTGCTGATGTTGCTGTTGATTTATATTGCAAACATCGAGACTATTCACAATATTGTTTTCAACATGGCAATCGCTACTGTTGTGCTGGCTCTTAAGCTGCTGCTGGACAAGCTCGTCGATGGAACTGTCATTGCCCCCAACTGTTGTCGGCGTTGGTGACAGGTTCACAACGACTGGCAAATCGGCTGTTAGGTTATTAACCGACCCATTAATATGGGGCAGCGTGACAACAGAGGCCGGTGAGTGCAAAGACATGGAGACAACGGAACCAGCTGAAACCGAATGTGAACTGAGTGTCGGGCTATGCTGGAGCCTTAGCTGAGAGCTACGATCTGTCGCATCGCTTCTAGACATAAGCAGATCTTGATCATGTTGCTGGCTAGGACGATACGCTGTTTCATAATCAGCAATACCAGTTGTTGTTGTTGTTGGTGAGAGGCAAATCACCTGCTTCTGGATGGTCACTTGTTGGTTATGAAGGTGTGATTGTGAAGTTGTTGCTGCTTTATGCAACTGCAGTGGACCACCGGCAGGTGACCCGTTCACTGGAGAGGACACTGTCGAGCTATGATTATGTAGATCGCACGTGTTAACCAAGCCAGAGAGTCCATGTGACGGGGAGCTGGCATAGGTGTGAGGCGTAGGTGATATCAATGAAGGCAATTTGTCATACGAATTTGAATATGGAGACTGAACGTCTGAGACCAAACCACTTAAGCTCAAGTTCGATAACGAGCCCTGGTGTGTCGCCTCAATGGGCAAGGGCAAAGGTAAGCTGTTAGCAAATGTTTGATCTGAATTGCTATTGCTGTTATTATTATTATTATTATTATTCGACCTAATTGTTGAATTGGTATTGCTATTCCCGTTGCTTGAGTTGATATGACCACCCACATAAGCGAATTTATCGGACATTGTTGATATTGGGGGTAGTGGTTGGATTGGTGTCAGCGTTGCATACGATGTCGGACTGAAGCTCGGCTCTGATATGCGATGATTGTTGACTGAAGTCAGTGTTTGATACGTGCTGTGCTCGACGGTCAGTGGTGGACTAAGCGATTGGCCAGCTGACACGTGTTCATCAACATCTTCGTCGTCATTATCAATGTCATCATCGTCGTCATCGTGTGCCTGAACAATTACTGAAAGCGATTCTCTATTATGCCCATGGCCAGATGCTAGCTGACGTTGCTGTTGATGCTGCTGCTGATGATGATGCTGTTGCTGTTGCTGTTGCTGATGCTGGTGCTGATGATGAATTAATTCCGATGCACTAACAAGACGTTGTCCGTATTGCGGATGATGCTGCTGATGGTGCTGGTGATGCTGCTGCTGTTGCTGATGCTGGTGATGCTGGTAATGCTGCTGCTGCTGCTGCTGCTGCTGTTCCTCAAGCAGCTGTTGATGATGCTGATTTAAGGTAACCTCCTCAACACCGCCATCCGAGGACAATTCATCAATAACATTAACATGCGACATATTAAGCCCAAGAGTTGGACTCGTGCGTCGATTCAAGATCCTATTGGCATCCGGATCGCGCTGAACAATGACCAGCTTGTGCTCCTGCTTAACGGCGATGATTTGCGTTGATAGCCCATCCAGACTTATGTCGTCAGATCCATCGAACTCAACTGGACTAACGTGTCTCTCGTCCGCATGATGCATGGGCAGTAAGGAGAGCGTCCTGGCACCATCCTGTAACTGCAGTTGTTCAGGCACTATCTGATACGTTGTCTGCAAATTGCTGCTGCTGCCCAGTTCATCGATAACCATAACAACAGCTGAGCTGGATTCCGCCACCTCCTGGCCATCCTCCAACTCATCCTCATCGTCCTCATCGTGATGATGTATCCGACCAGCACTGTCGGTACTCGCAATCAGTGTTTGCAGGGTCGGCGACTTTACGTACTTCATTCCGTTCAACGGATCGGAGTCCCCAATTGGCGTCTGACTAAGTTTCTGTGTTGCCACCTGTCCGACATGGCCTATGAATTCAGTTGTTTCCACGACCAACTGCTGGTGGCTGAAGGCTTGCGAATCAATTATATCGTTCATTGATTCCATTCCTCCCAAAGACAACTTTTCCGTTTTCGCAATAAGAGTTGCTCAGGTAACGGAACCAGAGGCATCCAGCTCCTAATTGTAGCTGCCTTAGCTTAAGCTCTGAACTGCAATCAAGACAACAAGAGAATAAACAGGGGATTTAAAGTCGATCGGGTCTATACATAGGATAGCGTTTTCTAATATTACATATATCATATATATACTAAAGGAAATAAGAAATTGAGTTCAATTCGGAAAGACTCTTCCGATATGAGCTAAGATATCGCAAGTGTGCACAATTGTGGCAGAGTAACTTCTAGTCGGGCCTACACCAATAAAGTAAGTTCACTTATTCTTATTTATTTCTTTTTTGTATAATATATATTTATATATTAATATTATTTTAATATTATATTAGTTTTTTTATTGCATTTGCTTTTATTTTTAAATGGTTTATAATTATTTATATTTTGCATTTCCTTTAATTTGTTTTTTGATTTATTTATTAATTATATTATTTTTTTAATTACTTATTTATTTTTCTCTTTTTTCATATTGTGTATTAATTGTATTAATGTATTAATTCATTTTTTTAATAATGTAAATTAAAAGTGGAATTGAATGTCTCTGATATTACTAATACATTGTTGATTAACTATAAATGCATATATATATTTATATATATAGTATACGATTCATGATTGCACAACTTTAAAACATTTTCACTTTACACTCACATTTCATAAAATGGTTGCGATTAAGCTCAGGACTTGTTCAGCAATGAAAGTCTAATAAATACTTTAACTAGAAGTTAAAGTCAGAGTGGAAAGTTTAAGTTAAAGTTAAATTTTAGTACAATTTTGATTTTTTTGGATTTGTTATTAGTTTCTTGGATTCGTTTTGTTTTTTTTTTCATTTTGGCTCTGTTGCCATCGTCGCCAAAGCCTTAAGGGTTGATAAAAGAAAATAACATACGAACACACACACACACACGCTTCAACTATTTTTATATGTGTGACACTCTCTCTCTCTCTTACTCCCATTATATTTGTGGGTGATTGTGAATTACGTTCGCTTAAACTTTATACATATATATGTATATAGGTATATACTTTTTAAATATATATATATATATATATATATATATATATATATATATATATAGTTGTTTAGTAATATTGTTGAAGAAGCAACTTTTTTCGCTAGCTTTGCATTATGCATACATACATACATGCTCCTACGTGCCTGTACGCCGTGTGTGTGTGCATGCGTGCATATGTATGCGAATGTAAGTGTTTATGTTTTCATATCTCACATCTATATATGTATATGTATATATGAGCGCATACATGTACGAGAGTGTGTCGATGGGGTTTTTGGGGTTGTTTTCACAGATCAAATATATTAGTTTCTTTTTCACAAACTTTTTTCATTTTGTTACCTTAGAACACATTGCCTAGCGGGGCTCGGCTACATTTTAGCTGGTCGCGTAGTTGATATAAGGCATTAAGCTTATATAGGACTGCCATATATGCAGCCTTTACTTAACTTATACATTTAAATGTATAATCTATATATATATATACATATATATATCTATATACAGGTGTATATAGTATGTATATATTAAGTTTGTTAGTTAACCAGGAATTTTCGCGGCAAACGCTTTTTGCAAGTGGGGGCGGAACTTTTATTTAAGCAGAGTACGAATCTATATGTGCATATATATCCATATATATATATATTTATATATACGAGTATATATATATAAATACATATATATTTGTGTGCGTGTAAAACTTTATATATATTGTATGACCGAGAGCACACGTTCTGCAAGGTTTTGAGCCTCACGCAGAATATACCCAATTTGAAACTGAACTGAAGCAAACACAGTCCATATGCTCTCTACGTTCGTTCCATATCTGAGGGCTGAGGACTGAGCGGGCGAGAGAGCAAGAAAGAGAGCAACCCAACTACCGTTACCCCTGCAGTAACTTTGCAGCGGGAAAAGCACCAACTCAACCACCCCTCGCTCTGTGCCGACACGGAGTTGCCATACACACAGAAACACAAATTAAATAAACAAGAACCAAACCTAACAGCTTGAGATTTGAGCCTGAAATACTAGACTAATATATGCATATAAGCTGCGCTTGTAGTCAGAAACTGGCGACGGCTCTCAATGGAAAGTGTGGCAACGTCTAAAACTACCCCACAAACTAGGCGCAGAGACAATGTATTGTTCCTAGCGCATTCGAATGGGCCTCTAAGCAGTTTCATAAAGCAAAGTGCCAGGGCACTTTACAGGAGTAAGGGTATATTGTATTTTGTAACATATGGCAACGCTCCACCTTCAACGCATGCGCACAGAATTGGTTCTCTGATAAATGTTACTTTGCTTCACAGAGTTCGGGGCCTTGAACCACCAATAACTAAGAGCCACGAACTACAATAGACGCGATGTTTCACCTCTTATACGCTGAATCCTTTATAAATGGGAATTCCGGGTCCAATGGTATTGACAATTTGTATGTAACAGGTTGAAGAAGGCGTGCCAAACCCCAAATATATAAATATATTCTTGATTAGGACTACGATGACTGAGTCTAGAGAGATAAAGACTTCAGATTGTAAATGTATTCCTGTATGCCACACGCAATGCAAGCTAATTATTTCTTTTGATAACTCATTACATTTCCTTAGTATCGATACAAATCGATTAAATTTAATGCAAGGGCACTTAAAATGAATGCAGATATTTTGCATATTTCCTGTAGCAGTATTTTATTAGTTAAGGCTTAAGGGTTTCTCCTAGTCGAGCACTCCCGACTAGACCTTTCTTACTTGCAAGTTGCTGAAGAGCGACGCTCTCCTACATTGCAGTCGTATGACATTAGGTAAATACATGGAAAGTTGAAGCTTCATTTGCCTTGACGCTCTTTACAACCATAAAATTCTCAAATGGTTTTAGCTTAACAATAGTATCAAGCCGAAGGCGAAGCTGCCTACGAGAGCGCTGTCTGCTGGCTATAGAGTCAGGAGCTAGTTGATATAGCCACACGCACAACTCAACGTGTCACATTTCTTATTTGTTGATTAGTAAAAGTCAACAAACACACATACATTTAGTATTTATATATGTTTATGAAATGAGTATATATTTGCTTTGCGAATATATTGTTTGAAAGTAGTTTATAAAAAAGTTTGATTAATGGATTTTAAGGAATATAATAACATTTTGATAATTTAATAAGAAATATGAATAATTTTTAATTTAATATTATGTTTTTACTGTATATTTTTTTTCTAAATTTAATAAATTAAAAAATGGATTTGAAAAACAGCGAAATGAATTCAGTTTGATATGCTTGACGATACCCCTGTTAATATATCTTACAATATCCTTCGCCATCAAGAACAAAGTTTGTGTTTTGTATATATATATATAGATATATATATATATATATATATATATATGAGTTTTTAACGGGATTTTATTAACAGTTGTTTTACAGCAAATACAATTGATTTGATCAGTGATTGACTTTGTCTAACAGTTACATATATGCATATTTCTGTCCATATATAGAGAGATATATAGAGATGGATCTCAACTATCTATAATAATCACTTAAGAGTTAGGTGTGCTTCAATATATAGTTAAAAATAATGTTAAAACTTTGCATATTACCATTAAAATACTTTTTCGACTCCTTGATCATTTTTATCGAGAAAATATATTGATTTGGTGCACTATTCAATTTTGATCTAGAAATATAACGTTTGAAATATATATATATATATAAATATATATATATATATATATATATATATATATTTATATATATATATATATATATATATATATATATATATATATATACTTACTAGATTTTTAATTGGAATTTAGCTAAACTTATAACCGTTGATTAGTTATATTTATATTGATTCGTTTCTGCTCTCTTCCGACATCTATATCTTTCAGAGTAGAAACATGTAAGATTGGGGTTTTCTCTTTTAACGGTCGAAATTTTTACGAGCATTGGGTAATTGATCTGTCCTCTCTGCCTTCTGGTTTTATCCACCTAGGTACTGAAGTCTCTGTCTATCTAGCTCTACGCTCTATCATCTTGGCCTACAACCATTTGCATGTTCAAAATTCGCAAACCAACGAAAAAAAGCAAGCAATGGTTGATGGAGGTACTTGGAGAGATTGCTTAGCAGTTTAGTTCTTCAACATCCCAGATATAATCTAAGATATGAATTTCGAGTTAACTTTGTCGCAGCTGGCTTAAGCCAACTTTGTATTAAGTCAGTATTTCAATGCAATTTTCTTATATTAAAAACAGTTATATTATAAAACAGTTAGTTTTGTTCGCGTTAATTTGTTCGTTATTTTCAAAGATAATAACAATCTTTACCTCTTGCTATGGATGTTTCGCTTACATATTTATAACCATTAGCCGTCAAGGTCAAGGTGCACCATATACCTTTATCTTTGATTTAACCGCAAGTCGAAAATAACTGACGAACGAATACCCAGTCCCATAAGTACATAAGTCCTTTTAACAGCTCCATATTGTGGAATATATCTTGATTGAACTTTAGTTGTTGAGACTTGAAATCCAAAAAAATTCATTTTTGTATTTGGCATTGGTATTTATAATTAAGTTTTCGACAACCCATTCCATTCGATCGAAAAAGAATTGTAATTATATATAAGATTATATATTCCAAATTTGAAGTCTCTAGCTTGTGCATTCTTACGAAAGGGCAGACGGACGAACGGATCTGTGGACTGAGCTCTAAGCTCGGCGTTCTGATCAAAAATATATATTCTAATGCCCAATTATTGATTTGGAACCTATAAAATGAGATTCGAAAATAGTTCATTTACTTGATCTGAATAGATACATAAATGGTAAGTTTTTTGAGAAACTTGGATTGATAAATAACTGATCGTAAAGAAGTCGTGAGAAGTCAGCCTACGCTTCGATCACACTTCGTATGCATGTCTTTGCTCGTATACAACCTGACTGAATTTAGACAGAAGATGTCGCATTTCGGCCACTGTCGATCGTGAGACTTGAAGCGCGCATGCTGAGGGAAGCCAATGACAAATTGCTCCGGTAGATGGCGTTTGGCGAGGCGTTTGCCGTTAGAAGCAATGCCGTGTTCTCTATGCTCGGAATGGAGCGTTTCTCTAGACCGTTGCAAAACACAGCTGTATCATTATTGATCGATCGAACTGGCAGCGTTTTCAGCGTTGGCAACAGCGTTTCAGAGTTCAGCGTGTTCAGAAATCCATCGAGATTCAGGGCATTGGCATTAAGCGTCACAGTTCTCGCGCTATCTTCGTCGCAATTCTCGCTTTCAGCCGTACTATCATTATGCCCATAGAGCTGTAAGCGGGAGCTTAGTAACTTGTTGCAAGCAGGACATGATCGGCTCGACAGATTTTTGTCACGTCGTCGAAAAATTTCATGAGCACATCTAAAAGCAGAAGATAAGAAACATAATACAATAATATTCAATTTGAGTCAGCTGTCTTTGTTGCCAAGATGAATCCATATTTTAAATTTGTGAACTCTAATTTGACTGAAGGACTACAGGAAACAGTTATGCATGATTTGAATTTGGAATCTATAGCTGAGCAAACAGATGTTTAGATGGGCAGATGAACAAAGCCTAATCGAGTCGACCTCGGCCTCGGCCTCCCTCCGCCTCCGTCCTACGCCCACCGCTCTGGCTGACTTTGTGGTACACATGCTAATTAATACCTGGCATGAAGTATGTGCGCACACGGTAACGCTTCTAGGCTAGCAGGTTGCATGCCAAATACTTCCCCACAGGCACCGCAATTTAGACCCAGCGCCGCATCTGTTTGGTTGGCTAATCGTAGATGAGTATTGCACTGGTCCTCGTCGCCCAGGGCTCGATATATAAGTGCCAACCGACTTCGGATTTTTCGTACTAGCAGCTAAAAGAAAACGCAGAAAATGATTTTTGATTTTGTTTTTCTGTTCTCTTACCTTTGCCCCAATGGAGCTGGCCACCTCCAGCAGCCGCGTGTTGAACTCTAAAGGCCTGCAATTGCAGATTTTACTTTGCAGACGTAGAGTTTCCAGGCATCGAGCAGCTCCATCCATCGCCTCCATCTGGCCCATGCGATCGCCTAAGCTGGCCGATGTGCCCATCGCCTGCTCGTACTGTCGGAATGCCCTCTACATTCAAGAAATTATAAAGGATACGTGACAGCGAATATTACAATTAAGAAGCATCTAGCCGGAAGAACTATCTTAGTGGTAAACTACGAACGACAACTTGGCTCTCAAAGTGACGCTATTTGCCACACCCTTCCCGGGGCGTAAACATATCTACATATATGCTAGTCGGGGGCTCTATACACAAGTATATATGTATTCCAATAACAGAATTTATCTTACTTTCTAAACTGAGGTAGGTCTGCAGCTTGACTATCTGCGAAATGCTTTGTATTCGTCCGTGTCACAGTAAAATGCCTCATATATATAGGTAATAAAATATTTATACATACATCTATATCCATCTTCTTGCGATAAATGTCGCCCATGACTCTTATGCTGCGTGTATATGTGGCCTGATCACCGGATATTAATGACAACCTAGTTGCTTCCTATATGTAAGCATAAATGTATAAGCAACTAGAGAGATAAGGGGAGCGAGCGAGAGGGAGACTAGACGACTTACCATGCAATAATCGTGGGCATCGCCCAGATCACCCTGCTTACGAAGCGAGGCGGCCATACGCAGCAAAGCGGCCCGATGATGGCAAGAATTGAGATCGCCAAGTTGCAGGGATCTGGACAGGTCGTATGCCTTAGATGCATAGGTAGCACTCTTGTCGTTATCCTGAAGCCGACTGAATAGTTCGGAGAGCGCCACGTACACTTGGAGTTCCAGCGATGGGTCGCCGATAGCCGTCGCGATCTTATGTGCCCCCTGCAAGCCCTCCAAGGCCCGGGAGAACCCCCCCATTTCCAGATAGACTCTCGCTACAGTCAAATGTACCAGCCCGCTGCGGCACTTCGTGCCAGATTCATTGTACAACGAATGTCGCGCATAGGCCAAAGCACGCTCCAGTCCACCTAGGCTGGCGTGCGCTCGACTCAGATTTAAGTATGTTTCGGCTCGCATGTTTGGCGAGTCGAGCTCTTCGGATATGCCCAGCTGTTGATGCCCAAAGTCAATCGCATCTCGATACTTGCCCCAGTCCATGTGCGCC